GGGGGGGGGGGGGGGGGGAGAGACCCGGCTTTTCTTACATGTAGCTTGGCTGCAGTATGAAAGACGCTCTAGTATCTCGAACGTGGAAGCTTTACTCTAGAGAGAGCGTCGAACCATTCTTGCTGCGCAAGTTGGCGGCGTTTCTCCCAATCGTTTCCCATCGTTTGCCAGAACATCATCTGCACGCATCCATCCGTGTACCTACGAGAACCCACACCAGCCCTACTTACAAAGAGCGAACTGGAGGGGATTGTGCGACGGAAAACCGGGCTGCTGGATTTCCAAATGATTGTATCTTACGGATGATTCTCTCTCTCTCCCCCCCCTCACCTTCCCCCTCCCGATAACGTAGTGGCGATAGCCCAGGCTGGTGGGATTGGGTACATGTAGCTCGTGATGGAAATCCTACAAGCGCGCCAAGAGAGAGGAAAATAAGAATGGGAAAAAGTGAGAGAAAGAAGCGAACGCGTGAACGAATATTCCATTGTCAAACGCGCCCCCCCCCCGCGGATCTTCTATCACATCTGTATGTATGCATGTACTTTGATTTGATGGATTTCCTTCTTGACATTTGCGGGTGGTGGTCAGAACTTACATGCACCCCTTGCCGCGGCCTGCCGGTTGATGACATGTAGGTAAGGTAGATAGATAGGTACATGTAGGTATTCTCATACTGTTGTGGCCGTTGGGGGTTTGAAGCGTCGTACTCGTACTGTTACCAAGCATCGAGTAATACCCTCTACTACCTTATACATGCAGTTCTGATTCCATTATGGTGGTGTGTTCCGGCAGCTCGGTGGTCGATGCAAGGGAGGAGGAGGAGGAGCAGCAGCAGCAGCAGGAAGAGGAGCAAGAGGAGGGGCGTGAGGAGAATATTGGAAAGCCTCAACTGAGGAGATTGTTGGAGACGGCGGGCCCGTGCGAGGTGATTTGCCCAGCTGGAAGAAGCAGCTTGCTCGAGAATAGGATGGATGGTGTCTGATCTGTCTGTGCTCAACCCTGCCTCTGCCTCTCTCCCCTCACCTCTTACCCACGCCCTCTCCAGCCCTCTCCTCCCTCAACCCGTCGTCCTCGTCCGTCCCCATCACCATCGTCATCGTCATCATCATCATCTCAGTCCCGTGTCCGCCAGTGCCTGCGGGCCTTTGTCGGAACTTGCAGTGCCCGCTTCTGGGCGAATGAGCGCGTGTCCCGGCTGGTTGGACGGGAGACCCACGGATCCAATCACACGGTGCTGCCGATGGGAAGCTATTCTGGCCCGGCAGCCAGCGCCTGTCACGGTACCCTCCATCTTTCCTGTCTGCAGAGCCCCAAATCTGTCGTCAGGCAGCCTCTCTTTTTTTTTCTTCTTTCGCGCTTCTTGTCTGTTATCATTTTTTCTTCTTCTTTTCGTGCTTGTGCTCGTGCTGCTGAGCCATCGTCCATCTCGTCCATCAAGCCTTAGCATCACTGTGCCATTTGATGAATGCTTTCCCTGTTCAGCAAACAATCCTCGCACCCCCTCCCCGTGTCCATGTCGTCTTCTTTGCCTGCTCCCGCCTGTGCATGGAACTCGGGCGATCACTCTGTCCATACGAAAGAGACACAAGAAAAGCCCACAATCTTGCTTGGGCACACACCCTCTCAGCCTTGGTGGGCTTGCGCACGTACCGGCCAAGTGCATCTGCCAACTCCCAACTTCTCCAGTCCAGTCCCAAGAGAACAGGACACGCCCCGGATTCCGGTACCGCTCCCTCGGGTAACCAGATTCCCGCCTGATTTTTATTCCTTTTTTCCCTTTTCCTTCTCTTTCGGGCTTACATACCGGGTATTGTATGATCTGCCCTCTATTGCGTTGCTTGAACTTTTGTTGGTGGCGCTTCCTCCCCCTGTTCTGGTCACGACAATTACCGCCCCGTCAGCGTCGACGCCCGTCCAGCGTCTCAAGCCACCAAGGATAAGTAGGCAACACCGATTTTTTGCATGTCACGATGTTGACCAATACTTTCCTCTTCATCTTCCAACACGCTCTCAATGGGCAGTGGAACACGACGCCGTTCTCGGCGTATTACTTGCAACAACATGAAGTTGCATGGGGGCTTTGACGCCACCAAAATGAAGAGCGACAAGACGGATTGCCGTCGTCGTTTCCATTCCCGAGGCTGTAACAGGGAGCTCGGCTCAGCCTTGTTGATGATCAGAAGGGACGCGCCACTGTTCCAATGTTGCTTCGTAAATGTCATGTAACCCTGCTGGCCGCTGGCTAACGCCTGCAGATACGCGCCCGGCACTCTGCTTCCTCGACCTCTCGGGAACTACAACTGATGAGCTTCTGCTGGTTGCCCCCCAACGGGTGGCTTCTTTTGGCCTCCCTTCTGATGGAGATGGTGGGTTACAGGTTTCGTCTCATGCTGTGTCTCTTGGCGGCTATTTCGTGTAGCCAAGTCTGTACACACACAGGTTCATCCAAGCATTGCGCGTCTGGGCCCTTTACATGTGAAAAAAGGAGACAGGTCACTGAGCACAGCCAGCCGGGATCATTGGGCGTGTCTGTGTGTGTTTTCGTGCAAAGAGGCAAAAAAAACCTGACGGTTTCCTTTTACCGAACTGGTACTACATTTACTTACTTGTTACATACTTTGGGAGAAGTTGCCTGCATTGCGGCGTGCCAATCAACGCTGGCTCGCCAATTGGGAGTTTTGACCTGTCATGTTTCGTCCAGGTTGAGGTGAAGTCTGGAATCCTGTGCGAGAGGTAGTACTGCTACATAAGTACATACTTCGTACGCGATGGAGGACGGGGATTGCATATGAGTCCCTGTTTTGCGCTTCGTACACCTTTGCCTTTCCTACACACCTGCATATGCCTTCCTAATACTACTTTTGTTACCTAGGTAGGTAGGTAGGTAGGTAGGTAGGCAGGGCATACGAGGTCATAGCTTACCTCTCCTGCAATGTAATGACTTGTAATGCGTGTGTGTGTTGTTGTGTGTGGTGTGTGGCGTGCAGCATGTAGGTGACCATTCAAAATGATGCGAATCCTACGCGGGGAAGGAAGAGGCAGCAAAAGCAGAGTGGACAGATTGCATTGCATGGCCTCTTTCAATGGCGAAATGAGCCATACAGCCCCATCCAGCAAACGCTGCTTTGTCACAAATCAGACGAAACATTGATGAAGAGGCGTTGGTTCGGATTCGCCCCTCCTCGGCGGCTGTTCATGTGCATGATTGGGGGGGAGGAAGGAAGCAGTTGCTGCAACTCCTGATTTCTTATGTAGGGGGTTGTGTTTGTGTGTGTGTGTGTGTGTAAGTATGGGATGGCGTCGATTTAGGATAGGCTTGGGGTAGGTGTGTGTGTTTGTTGAGAAGATGGGGGAGAGAGGACAGGTTTTTGTTATATGATCTAGGGAGAGGAATGGAGATTTTGTGTGGTTGTGATTTGGGAGTCTGGTGAGGTAAATGGCACGGTAAGTAGTATGAAGTTGACGTGGTTGTATCGAGACGTACGCTCCAAGTGAAGCTCCCCTTCTTTGATGAAGTCGTCGAAAATACAGACGAGAATGGCATAAACGAGGCCGGATGTGCCCTTTCCCGCTCGCCTCATTCTCGTGTTAAAGGCTCTCTCCTTTTTTCTTTTTTGACGACAAAGTTGGCCAATAACACGCTTTTGCTTCTCGGAGTAACTGGCCCTTACTGGCGCCCAAACAATTACAGTAACACTGTCTAGGAAGCTCCCCGCCCCCGTGTGAGTGAAATGAAAGCAAAGTCTGGTAAAAAAAAAAGTTCGTTCCAGAGGGAAAAGCCGGAAGCACGAGACAAATTCGTTTGATCCGTCTCCCTGTCCGAATGGCGAGCAGTCGAGATGTTGAAGAAGCAAACCTTCATCCACCTTCGTACGGGTCTATGGACTCGGTGGTG